ACAAGACAGCAAAGCATTACTTTTTTTTAAACAATTAATAAAAAAGCAATTAATATTTTAGCCAGTCTCTGGAAAGCAGGACAAGCTTGTGTCTCTAGACTCCTCTGTGATGGTTAAATATTAGGCATTCCCACAAGAACACTTCCTTGACAGCCTCCAGCTTTACTTACTTTTGGTAGGGCTGACACAGTGTACATCTTAAGTTACATTAAATAATAATAATAATAATAAACATTGTTTCTCCTTTCAAATGTCCATGTAGGACTGTGCTCAGGCTATACTCTCCTGCCAGGTGTTTAAGACCAATTTGGTCAAAACTGACCTTGTTCCTATCTATTTTTAAGAGTCAGCTGAATGTATCTATAATGGGAGAGGGCATGGGAAAAATGGAGAAACTTTGATTGGGCAAAGGGGAGGGAGAAGAGTAGAGGGGATATGGGGGCAGGAAAGATGGTGAAATGGGATGGACATCATTACCCTAGGTACATGTATGACTGCATACATGTATCTCTAGGGTAATGATGTCCATCACATTCCACCATCTTTCCATTGTACACATCGCATCACAACTTTTTATTTCTCTGATGGTACATGATGTACAATAATAATGCCACACCCCAATTCCCACCTCCTCCAGCCATATCCTGTTACTTCAATTACCACTCAATTAATCCCCATCAGGAGATTAATTCACTGATTGGGTTATGACTCTTATAACCTAATCATTTCTCCTCTGACCCTTCTTGCATTATTCACACATGAGCTTTTGGGGGACATTTCACAAACAAACTGTAACACTATCTGTCCTGTAGGTGATGGCTTAGATGGCTTATTTCAAATTAACCCAGATTTTATTTTTTAAAGAACCTCTGTAAAACACTACCAGGCAACAGTTATAATGTTTATAAGGAAAATACAAAATGAAATTAATAGAGCAAAAACATCTTTAGGAGTCTGGGGATATAGTTCAGTTGGTAGAATGCTTGCCTCGCATGCACAAGGCCCTGGTTCAATCCTCAACACCACAAACACACACACACACACACACACACACAAACATTTAATTTGTGTAATAGCTATGGACTAGGAAAAATGACTTTTGTAATCTTAAATCTTTACTTAGTTATACATTATTTATTTATTTATTTATCTTTATTTCTTACATACATGACAATAGTGGAATGCATTACAATCATAATTACCCATTCACAGCACAATTTTTCATAACTCTGTATATAAAGTATGTTCACACCAAATTATGCCATTATACATGCGCTCTCTTATTTTTTTTTACATTATAATTCTTAATACACCTTTACACCACAATTCATCATATCTCTGTATATAAGGTATATTGGCACCAAATTCACATCTTCATACATGTATTTTGTATAATGATGAGGGTCTCCTTCCACCATCCGTGCTATTCCTCTTCTCCCTCCCTTGTTATACATTATATTCCCTGTTTGAGATTACATTAATCTTTACAACAAAAATGAATCTTTTGAACACAACTTTAAATGAGCTAAAGTTTAGCCTATTTTGGAGCCATTTTAACATGGAGTAAGGTGGGAGGCAGAGATTTATCTCAGATAAGGTGGGGCTGTTCACGAATAACACAATACAATATTACACCTAAAACATTTATCAAAGATAGGCTAAGAGAGCTTTTAACTTTCTTTTTGTGGAAAAAGTGGCAGAATACTTCTACATTTCACAATATTAACCTTTAAACAAGTCAGAATTTCATTATCTTTCAAAAATACATTTAATTTTCCACCCCAATGTATAAGGTAACACAAAATTTTACACACATCTTATTGATAACAGGTCCAGTTACAGAACATTAAATGATATAAATAAATCTCCAATATATATAAACTTATGGAAATGTTTTTTTAAATATTTATTTTTTAGTTGTAGGTGGACACAATATTTTTATTTCATTTTTATGTGGTGCTGAGGTTTGAACCCAGTGCCTCACATGTGCTAGGCAAGCACTCTGCCACTGAGCCACAATCCCAACCCCTAGAAATGTTACTTCTATAAGTTTGAAAATACCATTTCGGACAACTTTAATTTGGAAAACACCAGCTTGGTAAAGTGCTTTCCTAAGCTTTATATTTTAAAACTTGTATATTAAGAGAACATGAATATTTAATATACAAGGAAGAACTAATAGCTAGCATCACAATTATGCAGATGTCCTTATATTAACTAAGTTCAATTTTCACAGTAAAATTCAGAATCCACAGATAATATAGGCTTGTAGAGTTTAGTAATACTAGCAAAAATCAAGAATAGCCTTAAGTGTTAGCACAGTAGTGGACACCTGTATAATCCCAGCAGCTTGGGAGGCTGAGACAAGAGGATCTTGAGTTCAAAGCCAGCCTCAGCAATGGTGAGGCACTAAGCATCTTGGTGAGACCCTATCTCTAAATAAAATACAAAATAGGGCTGGAGATGTGGCTCAGTGTTTGAGTGCCCCTGTGTTAGATCTCTGCCCCCCCACCCACCCACCATAAGAGAATGGCCTTAAATCTCTTATTCATTTAGGAACAGTGTTAGTGATCAGAACTAGACTTAGTTAAAGCAATAGATATAAGCCAGCTTTTCAAATGGCAATGTGGCCCTTTTATGTCAGATGCAATGTATAAAAGACAGCACTTATTGGTTAAGACAAACATATATTTAGTTTCAGATGCATACATATCTCTAGTCTCATAAATTTAGGTTATGAAAATCAAGCCTGTTCAAAATTTTAAGGCATCTGTTTCTCTGGCAAAGAAAAATCCTAAAAGTAATGCACATCACACTTTGATATTTTATAGCTCTCAAGTCTAGTATAAATTGGTACTCATCAGTGAAGTTTTTTTTTAACAGGCAGAACAGGCAGAGTAGGATATCTGGCAAAGCTGACTCAATTCTCATTTTAAACAACTGTCCAAAGAGAATGAATGCCTCTTTTTTTAAGGGAGTATTCTTTTTCTCCCTTGGAGCAAGTTATTTCTCCCTAAAACAAAATCTTGGTTAAGATAACACTGATCACCTTTCTCAGGGTCCCTTGGATCTAGAATGCTGAGGGCCATTACCAAGTAGGAATGACGCATCGAAATTTCCTTGCCAAGCGTACCCCATGCTGCTTAGAGGACATTCGATGAGACATTGCATGCATGCTTTAATAAGGTGACCTTGCTCAAGGACCAAGGCGGATCCGGGTTTAGAGCTGATCAGATTTGAGGAAGTAACCGGCTCCTTGAGTTTAAGGCGTTGCTAGTTTAAGATAATGGGTTTTAGGGAAGTTGGAAGTTGAAGATTATTGCTGGGATTAGGGTGTTCCTGCTGCTTGTTCCCGTTGAGTTCTCGTGAGATTAAGATGGGATTTGGAGATAGCCTCATGAAGTAGGTGAATTGTGCGGGAGACAGCAGAACGCGATTGCCCCTGGACCTGTGTGGAGGTGGTGTGAGAGCGGGAATAAAGAATTGCTATTTGAACCTACAAAGGTGTGTGGTGGCTCGTGATTCTGGTGCCAAGCCGAGACCTTGGCACTAGAATGCCTCACTCCCTTCTAATAGACCTCCAGCAGAGCAGGCTCTATTTTCTTTTCCTGGAAGGCACTTGTAAATGAAGTTGTTGCTTTTTGGGTGAGAATGTTACTCTACATTTAATTTACACAACAAATTTTACCCTAGGAGAGGAATCACACTCTGGTATATACTGGAAAAAAAAAAGTGCCTTAATCTTTTTTTTCCTTTCAGTTTGTACTCAAAGGGTTGGAGTACAGGTTGTTTGACCAGTCTCCTTTATCATCATCATAACACCATCAACTTTAGGCGAGTTCCCCACTGTCAATTGTACCCAGAGACTCTCTCTTTATATACCTATGTATCTAGGGCACTTTGTCCAGTGAAGGTCATATTGACCACACAGAGATTGTTAGGGACCTCTCTCTGCAGAAATCAGCAGGGCCAAGACACAAGCACTTGCATTCATGGAGACTTGGGGAGGCCCTTCTATTTTAGCTCTTGGGCAACGAGCAGGGCTGTACCCAGAAGGGTCCTTTGACTAAATAGGGCATCCTGTCAGATCTTCAAAAGGGGAGACCATTTTGTTCCCAGGTTATTATTTAATAGTGCTGGAGCCTATTGCCACATTCCTTGTGACTGGCAGCTTTCATTTTCCACCGCCATTAAGATAGCTAGTTAATCATCAGACAATGAGTGTAATGGACACCAGATAAGGTTTTTTGAATGTAAAGGCAACCTATGAGGTTATGCATTTCAGCCCACTTCTTTGTCCTAGAGTGGTGAGAAAAATGGAAATGGGAGTGGACCCAACAAGAGGTTGCAAAAATTCAGACTTAAAGGACTAAAAGCCAAATATGAAGTCATGGGCCAAGCCAACAGCCTTGGTACCTTCCCAACATCTGTATAGCATAGATTCCAACAATTAGCCCAATGCTTTTAATGTCTGTGTAGCCTGGACTCCTACCCTGTCTTTACCCAGAAACCTAAGTCCCCAGACTAGTGTACTCTCAAAAAGCTTTCCGCCAGTTTCCCCCCTCACATCATGGGGAGTTCCATCTTTTTTTTTTTCTCATTCAAAACTAATTTTATTTCTTTTACTTTTGTCCTCTGCCACCATCCATGGATTTCATTTTTTGAACCCAGAAAGAAAATCAGTGAGGCCTACAGCCTACATAGATTTCATTTGTCTGCAGAACCAAAAAATGGAAAACTTATTCTCAAACTCCAATTTTATTGCCATGGGCAAAGAGTGGCTGGAAAGCAGAGTAGAGGCCTGACCCTCTTTGCCCGTTTCTCTATAGACCAGGTAGCTTTCCTGAGTTTTTATTTTTTATTTTTCTTCATTCCAGGACTGGAGAGACTGACTCACTCACTGCAGGATGATTTGCAGCTGCCTGAGGCTAAACTGCAAAGCAATGCTGGTGCGGTGGTGAGGGGGGCACTTTAATAATTACTTGGAGGTGGACTGTCTCTGAATGCAAGCATATATATTTGGTTACACCAAGCGTCAGATACAGTTAACTCAATTCACATTAATTAAACACAGCAAACACATCATACAATCCCAGGACAACCATGAGCCCCAAAGTACCTCTGATGCCACATGACTTCTCTTAGAAGCGGACATTGATGTTGTCTGATGGTTTACTCCAGCCGATGGGTGGATGTCAGAGAATGGTGGAGTGGATCCAGGGATGGACAGTAAGGCAGTCAGTCTCATTGATGTCTTCAGAGTGAAGATCTCCGATGTGGCAGGACAAGCAGTTTAAATATAGTTCTGAATTTATGCTCATTGGCATCACCCCCAAGCATTGCTCTGTCTTTAGATGATGGTCCTTATCAATTGCGACCAGACATTGCTAAGCATTCCTGTGGCTGATGTTCTTATAGGTGCTCAGACTGTCAGCACTGGGTTAAAGAGATTAAAAAAAAAACTAAATCCTCTTTTGGTGTCCTGTTGTACTCACACATTAGAGGCAGCACCTCTTTGTATTCAACTTAGTTTTTGACTGTTTAGACTCCTTATTATGTACTCACAGAATCTTTCACTTATTCTGTCTCTGACAGGCCAACTCACAACCACAAAATCGTACAATAATTCAGAAAACCATTCCATCATCTTTTTTTTAGACAGGTTTATATCTATAGGTGGCCCATTTGGCCAAGATCTTTCCCAAGAAACAATCTATAGGATCAACCCAGTATTGCCCAAGACTTCAAGGGTCAGAAACAGATACAAACAAAAAACAGAGACAGACAAACAGAGACGATTCCCAAACCATGGCTGCCAGGAACCTTTAAAACAGAACAGATAGGGGGAAAAAATCCCCCCAAGTTCCCAACTCCTACTGAACCATGACTTCTACACCAGCAGTGCTACAGATAGATGTTCCTATGAAGAGGGACCAGATGTTCCCTCAAAGTGGAACCAGACGTGTGGAATCAAGGGTCTCCTTGTGCACACCAGGGGAGCTTATCGGATGGCCAATGTGTTGCAACGTCACTAGGCTCAGTTTCCTTTTCTCAAAGTAGACCAAGATGGAGCAATCTGTAAAGTTCAGGGAAGGAAAGTGAAAGTTCCCCCAAAGCTAAAAGGAGCAGCTGCTGGGAGTTTCTAAGTCCCTCCCTTTACTCCCAGGGATATAGCTCCTCTAGTTCCACCCGAGGCACACTCACCCATCTCCTGACTTTCCAGCAGTGAACTCTCAAAAAGTTCACCGTTCATCCTCAGCATAGAAGTACAGTTGCTTGGAGTGCCAGGTCTGCCCAAGAAAGCCAGAGCAAGAACTGTTCTCTGGTCCCACCTGGGTTGCCAAATTTGTAATCAAAATCTCAGTCCTTGTCCCCAATGCCAGTTCATGTCAATTTAATAAAGAGGACATGGTTTAGAGAAAAAGGAAAAAGAAGTTTTATTTCTTTACTAGCAAAGGAGAAATACAGGGGACTCCTGTCCCTGAGGCTGTGATTCTGCCCATCAGGAGGAACAGGGGGCTTTTAAAGAAACTCTACCAGGTGTGCTCTGGTAGGGGGACCCAGGGTACCTTGATGGTGTGTTAGGATTCACTTGTTAATTTGGGACATACTTACTTCCTAGATTCTTTGGCAGACATCTCCTTCCTGTGGAGCACAGATAACACAAGGTAATCTTGTTCTCTGTTCTAAGTTAAGGAAGGGGTCAGGGAGAAGAGGAAAAGAAAAACATGTCCCTTGAAAAATAAGCAGCAAGAGCTATATTTAAAAGGTGAAGTGGACCACTGTTACATTACTACATCTTATTATCTATGCTCTTGAGATTATTTGTGCCCATGATAGCTGTATGATGGAAATTTGTATTGTTGTGTTATGCCCATACCTTCCTACTTCCAATATACAGAGACATTATGTTGGTACTTTGAGGAAGATCTTGGTAATATTTATACCATGAAAATATCAGCCAACACTACAAATCAGAGCTTGATTAGTTGTTTTGTTGGTCGTCTACACTTTAAATAAATAAAAAGTGATGCAGAAAATGTTAATAGTATGAATTAAATTTATAAGTGTATTATATCGGTAGCTGTTACATTGTGAATAGCACAAAAATGAGTAAATGTTCCTCTGATATTAAAAAGCTAGAGTTCAATCTAGCAAATATGTTAATCACATTATTATCAAAGGAATAAAGTTTTAATAAATGTGTTAGTTGTTTCACTTTCATCTTATTCGTTAAAAATATCAAGCAACATTCACAGAATTATACTCATTCATTATAACCTTTTATTGCTATCTATGCAAAAGTTCAGCAAAATTGTTAAGAAGGATTCTATGACAATCTACTTGCTATATGGAATTTATAATAAGGAACATTTAATATGTTAATATTTTAATAATAGGATTTTAAAAATCAGTAACAGTCACACTGGCAGGTAGATAATTATAAGAAGTATTAGGAAGTAACAAGTACTATAAAATATGTAATAAATGATATCTGGGGAGTACAGAGGAAGTAACATTTTAGCTCAGCGGGAGGACAGGTAATCCAGGCTGCAGATCCTAAGGGCTGAACTTGGGCAATGGCCTTAGAAAAAGAGAAGTTTACTCTATTATGAGAGACACCATTTGATTTCTGGGTTGCAACTGAGTAGCATCAGGATTGTCCCATGAGTCCTGAGGATAAGGATACATCTGAGGGAGCAGGAGGATGACAGGTCCAGGGGCAGGAGTATATCAACTGTCCTATAGTCTCTGGTCAGTTCCTTTTCTCCACTCCTTTAATGCTTGATTCTCAATCCACTGCTCATCTACTGCATTCTTCCCTACACTTCTTCTCTAAATCTCAGCAGATGACCTTCCCTCTCCCGCACACCTATACCCAGTCAGTCACCAAGTCTTGGAAGCAGCCTCCAAGTCATCTTTCCTCTTCTCTTCCCCCACAACAGTGCCTCAATCTAGAATCCCATCTCTTCTCCCTTAGATGTATGTAATGGGCCTCCTAACTAATCTCCTAGCTTCCCCTTATTGTCCTTCACACTACTGCCAGAGTGATGGCTTAACCCCAGGGCTGTAAAGGCCCCAGTAGAATATATTCCAATCCCCCAAAAAGAACTTGGAGGACTCAGCAGAGAATGTTTGGACATTTTACTATTCAGGTAACCCTTGGTGCCACAGTCTGGAATAAACTGGGGGTACACCATGCCTACAGGCAAAGGGGAACAAGACACAGGACAGATTGCACATCAACTACACATAAAGGTTTCTTCAAATGTTTGATGAGCACATGACTTTACTTCAGAACTGAGTTTGTTCTGCTTTGGTACCTACACAAACACTGGAGATAAGGGAAGTAAATAGTTTCCTTCTTCCTTATGTTCCCTAGCACATTCTTTGGAGTCCTTTTTAGTTCACCTTCAAAAATAACAAGACTTCTAAGCACTGACTTGTTTACCCCAGCAATGATCTTTCTGAATCTTATGCTGTCACACATCTGCTTAAAATAATACCATGGGTCTCTGGTTTTCAGGATCAAGTTTAGGTCCTCTCATGAGCACATCCCTGTCTGCCTCTCTAGGCCAAATGTTTCACAATCCCCTTCATTCTGCTCAATCTGAACTTGTCCTCTCCCTCTCCTGTTATTTCATGCACTTTCTGTTCCTCTGTTTGTAATCCCCTTTGACCCAACTTCTTCTTCTTCTCTCCGGCCCCCTTCAAGATTTAGGATCAGAATTACCATTTGCAGGAAACCTCCCAGTCCCCTTCTGATTTAGGCACCCTTCTCTGTGCTCTTTGAGATTAACTCAGTTTCTGCCCATATTATACAATTTTATGCTGTGATTTCGACTTATTTGTCTGATTATGCAGACCGTGGCATAATCATCTGTTTATCATTCGAGCCAAGCATGGAACCTGTCATACAGCAGATTGAACTATATAGAGTGAGCTCCTTGAGGGAGAGATCAAAGATGTATTTAACATCTCTATATTAAGGAGGAGAGAGATACTCTGGTTTGGACATGATCAGAGCAGGGAGAATGAGGCAAAATTTGATACCTCTGTCTCACCCTACTTGAGTAAAAGACAGGTGGAGTCGAAACGAAGAGAAAAAACTACACTTCCCATCATGCTCCGGGCCTCCTCCGGGGTGCTTTCGTCTTCACGCCTCGACCTTGCGGAAATGAAAAGAGTACTTCCGGGTCCGGAGATAACCGGGCGCCGGCAGCGTTGGTTCGGCCCTTTAGGGCCTTGCTCTGAAGCTCCGCCTTCGTTTCGGTCTTTCTGGAAAACCCGCTTTGATCTCGGCGGTGCGGGACAGGTATTTCCCCGTGGCTGTGGGTGCTTCTGGGACCGTCTACTGCAACGGGGCGGGCAAGGCTCTTTTTCTCGGGAGGCTGGAAAGCTCGGAGCGGAGCAGGGCGCGGCGGGCCTCTGGAGGGAAGCAGGTTACCTGGGTCGTGGTCCCGACACTGACGTTTTGTTTCTTGTTTCTTCTCTCCGCGATTGCAGCGTCCCGGGTGCCTGTGTGTCTCTCATGGCTGAAACGACCCCAAACGGCCCCCAAGGGGCGGGCGCTGTGGTAAGTGAGCCGGCGGGGTCGCGTTGGTTGATTTGCTAGAGGTAGGAAGGAGCAGGAAGTACTGCGAGGACCCGGAGCGTTCCAGAAGCGCTGAGATTTCTGGACTAGCATGAGTGGGTGCGGGTGCGGAGAGGGGAGAACCGAAGGGAAGCTACATAGGGAGCTACAAGTTTGCTTCTGAAACCACAACTGTCTGTCTTGGAGCAGGTGGCTGTCACCAGCGTATCCTGGAAATTGGTCCTTCTTGCCTTTCCCCACACCTCAGTCTCTAATTATCCTAGGCCCCAAGGTTGAAGATGCCGTGTAAGGGTATGCCGTGACACTAGCCTCATGGCGCCCTTGCGTGGGGACTGGAAACCTATGTGTCAACTTTACGCCATTGTATAGAAATGACGCACAGAACCATCTGTTGTTTTCCTTCTTCACATTGTTCTTACTTCTTTACAAAGCAAAGTACCAAGCTTTTGTAATTTTTTTTTTAAATGCCAGTCAGCAACTTCCTAGTTACTTGCATCCAAAGCATTATTATCCTCTGATTTTTCCCACCCTAAGTGTGTGAATCGGGTGAATTACTTTTTGAAAACATTTTGCAAGTATTTCTACATAAACACTTTAAAATTTTGCTGGCTCATTTAAAAGTCTTTGTTAACCCACAAATATTTTGTTATTCTTTCACATGACCACGTTAAGTTAATCACGTGGGAAATTTAACATTGATAGGTGGTATAAACTGATATGCAATTCATGTTCAAGTTTCCTTAATTGTCTTTTAAAGCTGCTTCCTTTTCCTCAGGGGTTCTGCCAGAAAGCATGCATTATGTTTACTGGTCATATATCTGCTTCCCTCCCTTTTTTGTCTTTCAAGATTGGTAATTTTTTTTTTTTTTTTTTTTTTTTTTTTTTGTGGCCAGGGAGATTGAACCTAGGGGCCTTTTGCTTTGTGCACGCTAGGCAAGTGCTCTACCAACTGAACTACATCCCCAGCCCTAAGATTGTTAATTTTCTAGAGCCCAGACCTATTCTGTAGAATGCTTCTCAAACTGGAATCGCATGAATGATTATTTTATTCTTCTCTGTGCATTATAAAAAAGAAGCATTTCTTTTATTAATTAATGATGGACCTTTATTTACTTATTTGCTTATATGTGGTGCTAAGAATCCAACCTAGTGCCTCACACATGCTAGGCAAGTGCTCTACCACGGAGCCACAACCCCAACCCCATATGAGGAAGCATTTCATGTTCATTTATCCTATTGTTGGGGATTTTAAGTTTGATTCTTTAATTAAGATAGTTACCACTGGATTCTACATTATAAAGATTCCTTTTTCCCCTTTGTAATTAAGAAGTTGTTTTTGAGGCTCTGTATCTTGTTCCTCAAGTCGTTTTTTTACCTGAAGATTCATTAATATTTTTTGTCTGTATTATTTACTGCTAGTGATTGGCGGTTGGCCAGGTCACTCTTTTTTGTTTTGTTTTGAAATGTGGTGTCACTTGTTGCCTAGGCTGGTCTTGAACTCTTGATGGGCCCAAGTGATCCTTCCTGCCTCAGTCTCCCAAGCAGCAAAGACTATAGATGTGTGCTACCAATGCTAGTCACTCTCAAAAATCTGAACCAAAATATGCCCTTTTGACTTTTCTTTTATTGTGTGATAAAATGAAATGCATAGCTCAGCAATTTATGGTAAAATGAACACCCTACACAAATGGATTTTAAAGAAAATATCCCCAAATTAAATTTCAGATTGTGATTAGAGCTTGGACATTTGTAGAGGAACTGAGCACAGAAAGCTAGATTTATCCTTCTGTTTGACCATTCCTGATCATTTAAATTTAGGGGAGAAATAGTATGGTAGTTAGGATACAATCAACAAGAGGCATATTTCATATTTCTGACATTACCTACATATGATTTAAGAAGGAATGCAATAAAATGTATTTGAATTTTTAAATGTTCGTGCATTTTTACTTAAAAGTTTTTTTTTTTTTTGTTTTTTTTACACTTTTCCCCCCAAAGATAATGAAGTTAAATTGCTTAAAAGCAGTGTTCTGAAACTTCAAATAGAACCATTAGTGAGTTTCAAAATTAGCTTTGTGGAAGCTTTTTTTTTTTTTTTTTAATACAGTAAGAATAAGTATTATTTGTGAAACTTTGTTATACTTCATATACCCATGTATGTTTGTATTAGATCTCAGTGTTAACAGTATTTGTGGTACTGTAGTTAAAAAATGTAAAATTCTCTTTAGAATATGAATATAAAATACATCTTAATGATAAAGCATATTTTTACATTTTTTAGTGCTAATGAACACTCTGGAGAAAGAAAAGCAGCAAAGGAAAAGAATAAGAAAAAAATGAAGAAATATGCATGTGGAAGTTTAATATAGTGTCGCTGAAACTTATAGGGACAAATAAAGCACAAATCCCATCTTAAAACTTGTAGGGGAGCCTTAAGGGGATGCAGAAAGTCATAATCAGAGAAGCAGGTGATATTTAATAGCTGACAGTTGTATGTTGAGCACTTCCACTATGTTAGGCAGATCATCCACTGAGTAATGAGTTCAACTGTAACTGACTGATGATGACTGTGGTTTTTACTTTGTCCTTTCAAAAGTGTATTTGTTGTTGCCTTTTTATTCAGTTCTGAGACCTACCTATTTGGGTTTGAGATTTTGCTAATAATAGGCATTTGGTTCTCTTGAGAGCAATTAGTACTTATTTAATGTTCTTTTTAAATAGATGAAGCCAATATTACAACTGTTGAAAGAACACAGACAATTGTAGTTAAATTTCTGTCCAGGTTCCTGTGCTTTCCAAATCAACACTATAGAATTTTTTAACTTGTCATTGAGCATTTATGTGAAATAGTTAATTGCCTTGAGAGTTTTCACTTAATGATTTAAAAACAAATGTTATAAGGTTGTTGAAATATTTTGAATATGAATAAATTATATATTCTTAACATAATTTGCAGGCTTAATTTACTACCATATTTTTCTTTTTAAATACAGCAATTCATGATGACCAATAAACTGGACACGGCAATGTGGCTTTCTCGCTTGTTCACAGTGTACTGCTCTGCTTTGTTTGTTCTGCCTCTTCTTGGGTATGTACTATACATAATTCTGGCTTTGATGTTGTTCTGTTTTTATGAAATACTTTTTTAGGTGTAAGAATTGTTAAATTGTAAAAGGTTCAGGGACAGATAAAAACGCAAGTCCTTAGTAATATAATCAGTTGGAGGGATTTATGATTTGTGAAACTAAGCATGGTGAAAATCTGAGTGAAAATGTAGGTGCAGGGTTAAGACAAGTTCATGATTTTTGCATTTTTGACCTTTTTATCTTGATGCGAAGAATCACTGCTTTATAAAATTTAGTTGGGTGTATATATATATATATATATATATATATATATATATATATGAAATGATGCTTCTAAGAAGATAGAGCAAGTTCAAGGAATTTTTTTCTATTGATAGTTAAATGAGTTAGGTGTTGTGCAATTATGATGCAATTCACAAGGGAGGAAGAGACATGGTAGTTGTTTATGTCTCATGATAACTTCTCCTCTGGTAATTTACAGGTTGCATGAAGCAGCAAGCTTTTACCAACGTGCTTTGCTGGCAAATGCTCTTACCAGTGCTCTGAGGCTACATCAAAGATTGCCGCACTTTCAATTAAGCAGAGCATTTCTGGCTCAAGCTTTGTTAGAGGACAGCTGCCACTACCTGTTGTATTCACTCATCTTTGTCAATTCCTACCCTGTTACAAGTATCCTTTTCTACTTTTTTGACAGTGAAATGACCAACTAAATATGTAGGGGATCTGTTGATTATTTTTTGCTATAGGAAAGATTAGTAACAAGGGCATTCAATAAAAGTTGAAGTTTTTGCTTTTTGGCACTTCATTTATATGAAAAAGTTATGCTTATTTTAAAAATTTCAGACGCTAAAGCTTGAAATGTAAACTTTGAAGAGCTGATTTGGGATTTTTAAACTTTGTCTATAAATGTTCTTTCATAAATTTCTTGATTAGCAATGGGTATTTTAAAGTTCAGATTCAAAGCATAAGCTTATATAGGATTTGTGAATACTTAAAATTTTCTTTCATTTAACTGGGCATATGTGGTGGTACAGTCCTTTAATCCCAATAACGCAAGAGGCTAAGGCAGGAAGATCCCAAATTCGAGGTCAGTCTTACAAACTTAGTGAGGCCCTGAGTAACTTAGTGAGACACTGTCTCTGAGTAAATTAATATATAAATAAATAGGGTTGGAGATGTAGCTCAGGTGTAAAGAAGCCCTGAGATCAAGCCCTCGTACCTCTCCCCAAATATTTTTCTTCCATTAAATTTATAGCTTCTTTGAGAAGGTATCTAGATGTCTTCCTTTTAAAAAGGTAGATCATCACCTATTTCCTTTTTTTTTTTTTTGTAGTTGTAGTTGGACACAATAACTTTATTTATTTATTTTATGTGGTGCTGAGGATCGAACCCAGGGCCTTGCACATGTGAGGCGAGTGCTCTACCACTGAGCCACAACCCCAGCCCACCTATTTCCTTTTTTAACTTTCAGTGACCTAGGAACAAATGAAAATTTATGAAGAAATGATTAGTAAATTTAAAATAATATTTACTGTATGTAATGTAGAAACATGGATAACATGTATGGAAACAACATATAGATACATATGGATAATCCATGTAGCATTGAGAATTAATAACTGATTTGGAATATGTATGCTTTCACAATTTCAAAAGTATTGCCAGATGATAATGGGTATTATTCCAAAAAGGAGAGAAGTTCTACAATTCATTGTGTTTGGGAAGCACTAAGTTAAAGATTTTGAAATAGGATTCTTTGTTACAGGACCTTTGTGCATTGTGAGATTAATGTTTCTTAATTTTTTTGTATAGATCACCCATTAGGAAGTTACTTAGTGTTTTAAGAAGTGCTGATGTAAGAGTTTGGGGTTTTTTGTTTCTTTGTTTTGTTTTGTCTTTTGGTGCCAGGGATTGAACCCAGGTGTGTGTAGCCACTGAGCCACATTCCCAGCCCTTTTTTATATTTTGAGATAGGGTCTCATTAAATTGCTTAGGGTCTGGCTGAGTTGCTGAAGCTGACTTTGAATTTGTAATCCTCCTGCCTCAGCCTCCCAAGCTGCTGGGATTACAGGTGTGCACCACTAACCTAGCTTAAGAGCTTTTGAATATTTCTGATACAACTATATATAGTAGAAAACATAATAAAATATTTCTCTAAGACTAAATGTCCACTTAGATGATACCTATATTGTGAATTATCATTTTTAAATAGTTTTTGTTTTTGTCATTCTGGGGATTGAACCCAGGACCTTGTATATGCCAGGCACACACTCTACCTATAGGTCATGACCTTTGTGATGTTTACTCAGTTTCCCCAAGCTAGGGGGATGAGTCAGATTAGAAATATTAAAGGTATGAGAAATTTCAGAAATAATACACAAAAATAAGTGAAAAGCAGGATCCGATGGAGACCAGCTCTGATGGAGATTGGGTCTCTCTCTCCTAAATGGAGTCCCCAGGCTTTATTTAAATGAGTAGGAACACCAGTGGGATTCAGTGTAAAGAACTTCTTGAGGAAACAGGAAGAAGGTGGCAGAAACAACTTGGTTGAAGCTTAGCAGGTTGTACCCACCTTCGTCTGCATTTGTACCTAGGTCTTTGAGCTAAGGCAGGATGTCAGCATAATCTGGGCATTCTTGAAGTTCTCAGAAAAGTAACCTCCTTACCTTGTGATGGCTCATACAAACCCATAATCATACGTGGCCTATATAGCCTCCAACACCTAAATACTGGCAAAATAAATTTCCATTTCCTAACTACTTATAAATAGATGGAAGTGAAGTATAGCTCAGTGTCTGGCAGAGAGCAGGTGCTTAGTTAAGTTTTGTTGAGTGAGTCATGAGATCATGCCAAATGAGACCCATGACTGGGAAGATAACCTGTCTTTTATATGCAGTTGGTTATTCACTAACCCATTTCTCATGGGAATGTTGAAGTTTAAGGATTTCTTCTTCCTTAAATTTTTATGGGAGGGGAAAGGGAGCAGTGAGAATAACATAAACTAGTAATTGTCAAGGAATACTAATCTGATTCCTAAGGCATTATGGTAATAAAGGTCGCCAAAATATTATCATAAACATTCTGATTTTTTAAAATATCTTTATTTGTGTTTATTTATTCATTTATTTTTTAATGTGGTGCTGAGGACTGAACCCAGGGCCTCACACATGAAGGGCAAGCACTTTACCACTGAGCCACAACTCCAGCACCGATCTTTGTTCTTATAAAGGTGATACATTGCCCTTGCTCTATCAATGACAAGTACTTAAGAGTTAAAATTGTAAACTTTTCACCCCTTATCTTTTCTAAATAATTTAAAAGTGACATTGAGATCTAAGATTATGAATATGTTATTAACAGTTTGTTCCCAAGCTTTGTGCTACATGTCTATTATCCCAGCTAATATGGAGGATAAGACAGAATTAAAAGTTAGAGGTCAGCCTGGGCAATTTGTGAGACCCTCTCTATAAGTAAAAAGTGAAATGTGCTGGGGATGTAGCTCCATGGTAGTGTACACCTCGGTTCAATCCCCAGTACTAGGAAAAAATTATTTATGAACTCTAGAACATTAGCAATAAAAGAATCTTTAGAAATCTCTGGCTTTGATTTCTTGTTATTTGACAGAGGATAAGGAAAATGAGGTTTGTGATAGAGCCAGGACTGGAAGGCAGGTGTCTTGATCTCAATTCAAGGTTCTGTTTTCATTACCTGATACTACTACTTATTGAATCGATCTTCAAGTCTGAATACATGTCAGAGTTTAAATTGTATTATTTAAGCCAAAACAGTTTCACAGGGGGGCCTTAAAGAAGAGAGGATTATACCTTTCATCAGTTTCAAAGGATTTATGATTCATTAAAAAGTTTAAAACTGTGTGTGCGTGTGTGTGTGTGTGTGTGTGTGTGTGTGTGTGTGTGAGAGAGAGAGAGAGAAATCTCTGTTTGGGTAATTGACATTTTAATTCTTGTGAGAGGCAAGAAAGAATTGGTCAGGGTATTAATTTGGAGAACTACTGTATTAACAAGATTTGGTTCTTCTAATACTTGAGATGAAGGTGCTTACCAATTGGAAATTGGAACCTTTGGGTCCTAACAGAGAATGTAATAAATTTGAGTCTTAGATTGTTAGAGCATTACCACTTCCCATTCATGTTAAGCCTTCAGCAAGTATAGAAAAACAATGATTCATTTCTTAGAAACTGCTTATATTTTTAGGGCCAGTATTTTTACCAGTCATGATTGACTAATAGTCTTTATCATTTCATGGAAATAACAATTTTTGGGTTTTTTGTTGTTGTTGTTTGTTTGTTTGTTTTTATTATAAGGCTGGCAAAAATTTGGTGTGGAGAATGGAATTTTCTGAGAAATTTCTGTTTTACAAAATGTTGCATGAAAATTGTATATTTACCCTGGGGCATTAAGCCAAATCAATGATTTTAAATACAGAGATTCTCTATGTCTGTAATTAAACTGATGAGACTTTCAGTAGATTATATACCACCCCAGATATATACTATCTTTTTTATTTTTACTAATTGAGAGGATAATTATATCAGCTTTATAGGTATGTTATCTTAAAATATAATGGGATCTTTGTAGGAAAGAAATGTTTTACTATCTTCAACTGAGAAAAATTTGGGAATTATTCCTTAAACCATTGCCTCAAACTCTCTTCTCTTAATGAGACCCTGTCTATAAGTAAAAAGTTAAATGTGCTGGAGATGTAGTTCCATGGTAGTTTATAGCTGGGGTGAGATCTGTGAAAGCACTGTAAAAGACTTATCTCTGTGTTTGAAGATTAACTTATGTGGCCAGGATGGCCAATGTGGGGTTAAAAACAGCATGCATAGAAAAAAACTAAGTAGCCTAGATTTTAATTTAATTTAGCAAATATTTGCAATGTTTTATTACCTCAAAAACTTTGAGGTAGCCTAGATTTTAATTTAATTTAGCAAATATTTGCAATGTTTTATTAACTAACCAATAAAAAATAAATGAAAAAAAACTTCACTATTAATTTTCTTCATAAAAATAATGATGTTTTAGAAAGTGAAATAGTTTACTTTCTTTTTTATAAAAAACAAAAACTTCTTTTGATTCAAAATATATTAGTAAACCAATAGCCATTTCACTGAACTCATTTTGCAGGTGGTGTTTCACTTGTATATTTGAACTTAATACATGGCTTGTTTTGCAAAGTACTTGATAATTTTGTGTTTTCCTTAATTGTTTTCTTCAGTGAGTATTTTCCCAGTCTTGTTATTCTCTTTGCTTCACGCTGCCACATACACGAAAAAGGTCCTTGATGTAAGTAAAGTAATGCTGTTTCTTTGATTCCTGGGAGTTTAAGTTCTAAGACACTCTGGCATTTGTCACAAGAAAGTTCCTCTATTCTCTTACACACTTGTTATGAATTACTTAGTGATTTAGTAGTTTTGAGTTTTAGAAGTTTTTATTTAGAGTGTCACAAATAGTACATTTTGGGTCTGGGGATATAGCTCAGTTGGTAGAGTGCTTGCCTTGCATGCACAAGGCCCTGAGTTCGATCCCCAGCACCACAAAAACAAAACAAATATAGTACATTTTGTAGATAAAGGATTGTACTTAAAATTATTCCCTGGTTCTCAGAGGAATTTCCATTTTTAAATTTTTTTTAAAAACCTTTTTAAGTTTGATAGTTGCTAGGTGCAATGGCACATGCCCATTATTCCAGTGGCTCAGGAAGCTGAGGCAAGGATAATACAAGTTCAAAGGCAGCCTCAGCAACAGTCAGGCACTGTCTTAAAATTAAAAAAAGGACTAGGGATGTAGCTCAGTGGTAAAGCACCCCTGGGTTTAATCCTCAGTACAAGGAAAAAAAAAAAAAAAGATTTGATGAGTTTTCAGAGGTTTCTTATTTAGTCACTGTATAATTCCAACATACCAGATAGACTATACCAAATCTCTTTTACACTAATATTAAGAACGGCTGCCTTCCTGAAATTAATTCATTGCTGGATTGGAACATTAATGCTTAAGCCTAACATAAGTGTTCCAGGTGGATTTACTGCATATACACTGAAATTTTAATTAAAATATCCAAATTTGTGCCTTGAATCAGACTTCATTGGATTTTATAATTTCTTTCTTTCTTTTTTTTTTTTTTAGTCGTAGATTGACACAATACCTTTATTTTATTTATTTATTATATTTGGTGCTGAGGATCAAACCCAGGGCTTCACGTGTGCTAGGCAAGCACTCTGCCACTGAACTACAATCACAGCCCAGGACTTCATAATTTCTATCATTTATTAGCTAAGGAATCACAGATATTTTAACTGTATTACTGAATAGGCAGATTTTGTTAAGATTGGAGAGAAATAGTAACATTTTTTGGTAAAATAATCTTTTTTTAAAGAAACAAAAGCATCTAAGAATGAAAAATATTTTCATTAATGTTTTCGACTTCAGATACACAAAATAAAGCAAGAAAATACATTCTTCATTTTTAAATAGTTTGTAAACTTTCAGTCATTTTTGTATCACTTACTTCTGGTTCTATTGCCTGTTGGATGTGCTATTTATCTATAAAGAAAGAAAATTTAGTCAGCTCTTAGTTATCCCTTGGTTCTGCGTCTGTGGATTTAACTGATTGCAGATAAGAAATATTTGCAAAAATAAGTTTGTGTCTGTAGTAAACAGGTATAGACTTTCTTTCCCTAAATGATACAATATTAACAACTATTTATATAGCGTTTACATGGTTATTAGGAATTATAAGCAATCTAGAGAAGACTTAAGGTATAAGAGAGTATGTTTATAGGTTATATGCAAATACTGTACTATTTTAAATAAGCATCTTGAGTATCTGCAGATTTTGGGATCTGAGTGGTATCCTGAAACCAATCCTCCATGTTTCCTGAAGGGTGACTGTAATTGAGTTATCAAAAATACTTAATTATCGCTAATGTATATTTTCTTTTGTTTTAGGCAAAGGGTTCAAATAGTTTACCTTTGTTGAGATCTGTCTTGGATAAATTAAGTGGTAATCAACAAAATATTCTGAAATTCATTGCTTGTAATGAAATTTTCTTGATGCCTGCTACAGTTTTTATGCTTTTTAGGTAAGAATAAAAATACATTTATTTTGGAAAGCTAATGACTAAATGAATAAGTAAAAATATTAAGTTTCATGTTGCTTGAAATTATGGTCTTATAGTAATAGTTATCTATGATTGCCTTCTTATTTTGTTTGTACCTTTGGTATGGAAAGTAATTCATGAATAAAGAAAGCTCTCCTTTTGAAAGTTAGAACATTAAAATATCAGTGATCTCTCTGTTGATATCTTGCATTTAAGTTTTAAAACAGGGCATATGTCTACCTGGATGATTCTTTTTTTAATTTTTAGTTTTCTAAGGAACAAGATATTATAGATAAAAGTTAAAATGTTGGGCTGGGAATGTGGCTCAGGCGGTAGCATGCTCGTCTGGCATGCATGTGGCCCGGGTTCAATCTTCAGCACCACATACCAACAAAGATGTTGTATCCGCTGAGAAGTAAAAAAATAAATAAATATTAAAAATTCTCTCTCTCTCTCTCTCTCTCTCTCTCTCTCTCTCTCTCTCTCTCTCTCTCTCTCTCTCTCCCTCCTCTCTCACTCTCTCTTTAAAAAAAAAGTTAAAATATTATTTGATTATAGGTCTTAGTTACAGTTTTTTTTAATCTTTTAGTTGTCGATGGACCTGTATTTTATTTATTTATATGAAGTGCTGAGAATCAAACCCAGTGCTTCACACATGTGAGGCGAGCGCTCTACCACTGAGCCACAACCCCAATCCTTAGTTGCAGTTTTGTTTTCTCTTTCTTATAGGTGTAAGAGTTTTGATATGTACCTATAAAAAAATCCTTTAATAATATACAAGTGTGTAGTAAATACATAAGTATCATAATTTATTAGTTGTCTCTCCCATGCTTTTTCCTACTTGAATGTTTTCATAACCTGTTTATACTAATATACAGTCATGGTTTGTTTCATTTAATGGTTGTATAGTGTTATATCAGATGAGTGTGCTGTTTTATTACCCATTTCTTTATTGATGGACATTTTGTTTCCATGTTTTTGTGTTTCCAAATACTGATGTAGTATACATCTTTTTCTGCTTACACTTAGGTATTAGTGTTTTCTTTAACACATCAGACTTCATTTTGCCATATTATAAGCTAAATTCATTTTGTGTTTAATAGAAATACCAAAATGTCCTGTAAAATGTCTACATATCTTGTTTTTCCTAATCTTGTTGATTTGTAATAAACTATTATTGATTATAAATTTATATTTTATAATTTCATATTCATTGCCTTGAAAAACTAATGATATTTGTATATACCTGATAATTACATCTTTCTTTAGCAGTCTCTCTAAACATTTTGTACATTTCCTTAAATGTAAATGCATCTTTTCCTATCTTTTAAGTAATGCTTTCCTCTGAAAACTCTATGGTCACCATATATTGCTTAAGTTATGGGTCCAACTAGATAATATACTTTAAATAAAGTTCTAGATTGATGCATGAAAGATTTTTATTTATTTATTTATTTTATTGTAGTTGTAGATGGACACAATACTTCATTTTATTTATTATTTTTATGTGGTTCTGAGAGTCAAACCCAGTGCCTCACATGTGCTGGGCAAGTGCTTTGCTACTGAGCTACTGCCTCAGCCCAGGATTTCTTATTGGATGTTATGGACCTGGATTATAGTTGATTTGACCATTAATTTATATTCTGAACCTTGAATTTCCTCATTGAAAATGTAGTCTTGGTCTAGGAATGTGGCTCAGCAACTCATGAGGCCTTAGATTCAATTCCCACTAGTGCAAATGAAAAAGAAAATTAGAAAGTAGTAGTATTACCTAACGTGTGAGATTCAGGCACTGCATTAAGAAAAAAAAAGTTAATTGTAATAGATAATGTTGAAAATTCTTCCATCTGCAAGGAAGCTGAATATAGAATTTGATGCATCTTTAAAACTTTCATCCCAAATTTTAGTTAAGTTTTATCCTAAAAACTGAAGTTACATAAAGGATAATGTAATCTAAGTCAAAGGAAAAAAAGAGGGATAAAATAAAAATTTCTGTATTTTCCCCTTGATGTATAGGTCTAATTTTCATCTCTTTCTTGTGTGATCTTGATCATTTAAACACTCTAATTAGTAAAAGGAACTTTTTGCCTCTTTACTTTCTTACTCATTTTTCTTGGGTTATCTAATTCTGGTCTTGAGGAATACCAGGTTCTGCCATTTGTTTCCTGTAAGTAGCTAAAAGTAAAAATAGTAGGTAATTTTTTTTATTGTATATATGGATATGGATGTAATTGATGTCTACACTTTGAAACCTCCAAATTCTGTTTAGTAAGCAAAATTATTTTGTTCTTCTTCAATTAGCTTAAGGATCTGGGGTTGCAACTCAGTGGTGGTGTGTTTGTCTAGCATTTGTGAGGCCCTGGTTACAGTCCTCAGCAACACACACACACACAAAATGACTAAAATAATTTTTTTTTATTGTTGGTTGTTCAAAACATTACATAGTTCTTGATATATCATATTTCACACTTTGATTCAAGTGGGTTATGAACTCCCATTTTTACCCCATATACAGATTGCAGAATCTAAAATAATTTTAATGAAATGCAATGCAACTTAGAGAAATACCTCATTTTTCTTGGTAGATAATTAAATTGTGCTCCTTAAAGATTTCATTTAAACACTTACTATGTACACATACATCTTAGTTTTCACATTATTGTAAAGGAGATATGAATTTACCAGAAATATTTAAAGAGTAAATAGCTTTATTGATTTCTTTACTCTTAACTTACTCTTGCAGTGAAACTGTATTTTGGTATCTGTTGTCCAACTTCTCTGTATTCCCCTTCCCTTTTCCCTTCCTAATCTCTAGTAATCACTATTTCACTGTCTTCTTTGATATCAATTTTTTAAGCTTATACATATGAGTGAGAACATACAATTTTTGCCTTTCTGTGCTGGGCTTATTACTTTATAATGTCCTCCAATTCCTTCCATTTTTGCCATGAATGACAATATGTTTTGTGTGTGTGTGTGGCTAAATAATTATTATGTGTATGTACTTGGATATGTATGCCACATTTTCTCTATTCATTCTTCTGCTGATGGATTCCTCAGTTGATTTTCATATCTTGGCTATTGTGAATAGTGATGCAACAAACACAGGAGTGTAGGTATCCCTTTGATATGTTGATTTCATTTACTTTAGCTATATATTCAAAAGTGGGATATAGCTGTATCATAGGGTAGTTCTGTTTTTTTTAATTTTATTTAGTTTTGTGAGGAAATTCCATACTTTTCTCCATAATAGCTGTACTAATTTACATTCTCACCCTCTGAATTTAAGAGTTGCTTTTTATTTTTTTCATTGTAGCCATTCTGATGAGTAAGATGATATCTCATTGTGGTTTTTGATTTGCATTTCCTGGATGGCTAGTAATGTTGAGCACTTTTTCTTATTCATTTGTATATTTTCTTTTGAAAAACACCTATTCAGATTATATGTCCATTTGTTTAAGTTTTTTGAACTCCTTATGTGTATTATGTATATTAATCTCTTGTCAGTTGAATAGTTTACAATTATTTTCTCCCAGGTTGCCTTTTCATTGTTGATGTTTTCTTTGCTGTGCAAAAACTTCTTAGTTTTATATATCCCATTTGTCCATTTTTGCTTTTATTGATTGCCTTTAGGGTCTTATGTAGAAAAGTAGTTTGCTTATTCCAGTGTTTTGAAGTGTTCCTCTTATGATTTATTCTAGTACTTTGATAGTTTCAAGTCTTTCATTTAGGTCTTTGACCATTTCGAGTTGACTTTACTATATGGTGAGAGAGAGAGGAATATAATTGCATTTTGCCTGTAGATATCCAGTTTTTTTCAGCACCATCATAGAGGCTATCCTTTTTCCAGTGTGTGTTTTTGTTTTCCTGTGTATGTTTTTGACACTTTGTTGAAAATTAGTTGGCTATATTTATTTGTAGAATCTCTTGTGTTCTCTTGGTCTGTGTTGGGTTTTATGCAAGTATCACGTTGTCTTGGTTACTGTGTTCCTTTATATGTAAGAACAGGTAGTGTGATGTTTCCAGTTTTGTTCTTTTTGCTCATATATATATTTTTTATTTTTCTAGTCTTGTTCCATATGAATTTTAGAATTGTTTTTTTTCTTATTTCTGTGAAGTTGGTGTTTTGAAAGTGATTGCATTGAATCTGTATATCATTTTGGGTATGGACATTTTAACAATATAAATATTCTTTAGCTATAGCTGAGGATTGAACCCAGGGGTGCTCCACCACTGGTTTATGTCACTGCCCTCTTTATTTTCTATTTTTGAGTCAGTCTTACTAAATTACCCAGGCTGGCCTCAAACTTGCAATCCTTCTGCCTTGGTCTCCTGAGTTGCTGGGATTACAGGCCTGCACTGCCACACCCAGCAACAATAGTGTTTTAGTTCATGAACAAGGAAGGTCTTTCTGAGTTTTGTTCTTTTTTCAGTGTTTTGTGTTTTTTTATTACTTTATTTTAAAGAATTAAAATTTGTTTACGAAGTTATATTCCATTTCTTTTGTTTGTTTTGTTTTGCAGTGCCTGGGGATCGAATCCAAGGTATTGCATATACTAGACAAGGGCTGTACCACTGAGTTACATGCCCAGGCCTCCATTTCTAAAAGGAAAAGCTACTTATGCTTTTAAATATGTAACTTGAATGTACCCAAGCTAACATTTAAAACAATCATAAATAATGACTATTCTTTGTGTGCTACCTTTCATGGTAGACACATAGTCTAATATTAGAAAACTATATTTAAAAATGAACTTATAATTTGAGTTGTCTTACACATACATGTACATGCATGCAAAGATGGATAAACGGATGATCATTATAATTTTATTCCTAATTGTGAACTGGAGCTATCCTAAATATTCATTACTAGGGAGCTTGTTACATAATGGTACAAGTAAGTATAAGAAGGAATATTTGAACCTATAAAAAGAACAAGGTAATTTCTGTATTGTCATATGGGATGCTTTCCAAGGTATAATAAGTTAGTTAACAGTAATATGGGCTGTTACCATGTGTGCACTTATTAGTATTAGCTCTTTTGTATACTTGTGTACATAAATAGAAGTGTATTTGAGATTGTGCTAAAACTTTGAGAAAGGGCTAATTTGGATGAAGGGAAACTTGTTTTTCAGTGAGTATTTTCTATGTACATTTTCTGTATTCTTTGCATTACTTCTTCAATTTATGTATTTATTTTTTAAAAATATTTTTTGGGTATAGATGGACAGAATATCTTTATTTCATTTATTTTATGTGGTGGTGAGGATCAAACCCAGTGCCTCACCCATATGAGGCAATCGTTCTGCCATTGAGCCACAACCCCAGCCCCTGTTTGTTTGTTTTAATATTTTTTTAGTTGTTGATGGACCTTTATTATTTGTATGTTGTGCTGAGAATCGAACCCAGTGCCTCACACATGCTAGGCAAGCATACTACCACTGAGCCACGACCCCAGCCCCCCTGTTTGTTTTTTTGATTTTTAATTTTTTAATTTTAGTTGTCAGTAAATACAGATTCATTGACAACTAAAATTTATTCTTTATATGCAGTGCTGTGAATTGAACCCGGTTCCTCACACATGCTAGGCAAGTGCTCTACCACTGATCTACAACCCTAGTCCTACTTTTTCAATTTAGAAAGTTAATTTGTCAAATTGTTGGAGAAAATGGATGTAACATTTAATTTAGTGATATTTGTAAGTTTGTACTTTTGCTATAAAAGTAATATCATGCATTGGGTGCAGTGGCACATGCCTGAATCCCAGCAGCTTGAGAGGCTGAGGCAGGAGGACCACAAGTTCAAAGCCAGCCTCAGCAACAGCAAGGTGCTAAGCAACTCAGTGAGACCCTGTCTGTAAATAAAATACAGAATAGGACTGGAGATGTGTCTCAAGTGGTCAAGTGCCCCTGAGTTTGATTCAACATCCCCTTCCCCCCGAAAATAATATCATGCAACTTGAAAGACTAAAAAATTAGCATAAGAAACTACCTTTAGCATCTTAATGTATTTCCTCCAAATTAAGTTTCAAGATACAGGGCTGGGGATGTGGCTCAAGAGGTAGCGCACTCGCCTGGCATGTGTGCGGCCCGGGTTCGATCCTCAGCACCACATACAAACAAAGATATTGTGTCTGCCAAAAACTAAAAAATAAATATCAAAAATTTTCTCTTTCTCTCTCTCTCTCTCTCTTTCTCTCTCTCTCTCTCTCTCTCTCTCTTTTTCCCAAAAAAAAAGTTTCAAGATACAGTTGTAATAGTATGTATAGATTTATGTTCTGCTGTTTTCAAAGTTGTTATATAGTTTTAGTTTTTATAACAAAGATTATAAGTAGTTGCATATTAAATCCATTACATAAACATAATGGTGTTATATAAATTTATGTCACCCTACTACTTTTCTGTCCACTGTAGGTTTGTGTTGTGTTTTTTCTTTCTTTTTGGTGATAGTAGGGATTGAACCCAGGGTCTCTTACATGCTTAGGGAAGTACTGTTAACACTGAGCTACATCTCTGGCCCTTTTTAATTTTATTTTGAGACAGAGTCTTGTCTAGGATGACCTAACTTGTGATCCTCCTGTTTCAGGAGTAGCTGGAATAATAGGCATGTCCCACCACACCCAACTTATTTTTTCTTCATTTATTTTTGCAGTACTAGGCATTGAACCCAGGATCTTGCACATGCTAGGCAAGTACTGTATCAGTGAGCCACATCCTCAGCCCCATTGCTATGTTTTATTAGTTATTTCCATGAAAGTTTTAATCCAGATAGAGTTTTCTAGGAAGAATTCCAGACTTGGAGTTTCAAAAACATATCTATAGATAGATAGACATAAAATATATTTATATATACATATATACATCTTTCTTGAGGTATTTAATTATGCTTTTTAACCAAGAATACTTGTATAGGCTGTATAAATTTGCTAGTGAGCCAGTATAATTTTTTTTTAATATTTTGTTTTTAGTTGTAGATGGACACAGTACCTTTATTTATTTATTTATGTGGTGCTGAGGATTAAACCCAGTGCCTCACACTTATCAGGCAAGCGCTCTACCACTGAGCCACAACTCCAGCACTGCCATTATAGTTTTAATTTTTGTTTGTTTTTATAAAATAAAGTACTTTTTATTTGAATATGTGTTAAGTCTTAAAATTTAATTTCATCAATGGTAATTATGGAAGCGCTTTTATGTAACTTACTGATTTATTTAGTATGTTATAATTTCAGCTGAGCACAGTGTTCCACACTTGAAATCCCAGCTACTTAGGAGGCTAAAACAGTAGGATTTGAGGCCAACCTCCGCAATTTAGTAAGACCATATCTCAAAATAAAGTAAAAAGGGCTGGGAGTATTGCTCAGTGGTAGAGTGGCCCTGGGTTCAATCCCCAGCATTGAAAAATAAATAAAAAATTCAAAAGTAATACATGGCCAGGTGTGATGGTGCACGTCTTTAAGCCTAGCATTTTGGGGAAGCTGAGATAGGAGGATAGTAAGTTTGAAGTTAGCCTGAGCAACTTAGCAAGACCCTGTCTGAAAATGAAAAGCACTGGGGCTGTAGTTTAGTAATAGAGCACCTCTGGGTTCAATCCCTATTACCACCAAAACAAAATAGGTAATATTTATAGATTATATTTATAAAAGTTTAAGCAATAACATTTTACTCTTTGCCATCATCTATATTCTTTTATTTCCTTTTTAAAAATAACTTGGGTTTAGATATATTTTATTTAAATGAAGGCATACATTCTCCATTTGAATTGACTATTGCCTTTTAAAAGTATATGTATGAATTTGTAATGTATGTTATTACTCTGTATTTGTTTATTTCAGTGGCCAAGGAAGTTTGCTCCAGCCTTTTATTTACTATAGATTTCTGACTCTTCGATATTCCTCCAGAAGAAATCCATATTGTCGGTAAGCTGATAAGTTTAAGTATTTTCTATTTTTTAGAGAATTGTGGAAATATAGTATTTTTAACTTGTAAAAGTAATTTGACTAACAGTTTAGAACTTGGAAGAGACGTTTTTGCAGCTCTGTTTGTTTTTTTATTTAGAGACAGCATTTCACTGAGTTGCTTAGTGCCTAGCTTTTGCTGAGGCGGCTTTGAACTTATGATCCTCCTATCTCAGCATCCCAAGCTGCTGGGATTACAGGCATGCATCACCATGCTGCTGGTGGTAGCTAGGGTTATTGAGGTAGTTGTACAGATGCTATTTGACTTATGATAGCTTTATATCGTTATAAATTCATAATAAGTTGAAAATATTGTGAAGTCAAGAATGCATTTAATACACCTGCCCTACCAAACATCACGGCTTAGCAGTCAGTAAGTACACTATGTCAGTTGTTCACTGTCATGATTAAATGGCTAACTGGGCTTACAGCTTTCCTCTGTTGCACATTCTCACAATTAAGAGTATTCAGCATATTTCTAGTTGTGGAAAATATGGTTTCTGTTGAATGTGTCACTATTCCAGTTTTCAATAAAATTGAAAAACTGGAATTTCTTAGTCTGGAAACATCTGTATTTCTTCTTAGAAATTACAACTGAGGTTATCTTGACCACCTTTAAAACACTACTATGGTTAGGTAATTTAAAGATGTGTAAGACAAAAAATCCCATTCTCTAGGAGCTTTCCTAGTTGAAACAAAAACATGTCCTGAATACTAATAAGCAATAGTTGAGGATAAAATATTCACAAATCAATATACAGTAGTCCCTTTCATCCACAGTTTTACTTTTTCTTATTTCAGTTACATGTCATCCAAAAGTGGAGAATTCCATAAATAAGTAATTCACTAGTTTTAAATTGTTCATAGGTCTGAATAGAATAATGAAATCTTGTGCTGTCCTGCTCCTTCCCACCTGGGATGTGAACATCCCTTTGTCCAGCATATCCATGATATATAATGTCTAATTTATAAATAAAGGTTTATCATAGGTATATGTGTATGGGGAAAAAAAAAAAACAGCCCCAATGGAGGTTCCTGGAACATGTCTTCCTTGGGTAAGGCAGGGATCACATATAATGAATTGCCATATGGTTGCTTTTTTCTATCGGTATTATCTATAGTCCACAGAAGTGGGAGTGGTCATTGGGCCAGAAGATAGACAAGCCTAGGAAAATTTCCCAAATTGGAGATTTAAATTTGATCTGGAAGGATTAAAACATTAAAGCATTTTAGGTAGGCAGGTAGGTATTAGGAACATAGTTCAGAGGAAAAAAAGTGCAGGCCATGTTTGAAGGGGCATTGAGTAAAGGAGTTTGATTCCAGTGCAAATTCAGAATGATAAATTGCTGAAGCAGAATAAGATGGTATATTGGAGTCATGTCAAAAATTTCTTGAGTTTCAATATCAAAAATTTAAAATCTGTTAGATGTGTGGGAATGATGATTTTAACATGCTCAGAATATTCTGACATTCTTGTACAGAATGGGTTGGATGAGAATAATGGGGAAGCAGAGAAGTATTTTAGGAAATTAGTAGTTTTCAGGAATGGAAGTTTAGTATACACTGAATATATATATTTTGTTCTCAAAGTGAAGTAGAAATAAAATAATAACTGCATTTAGTAGATTTTAAAATGTAATTCGGTAATGTTAACACCTTTTATTTTCATGTTTGAAATAATGTAGTAGAATTCAGCAGGAAATTCAATCAGTGTGTTATGATTAACTCTATATACCATCACAAGTACACTTAAAAGAGCTGAATTTGAATGCTGACCCATCATTTACTAGGTGTGTGACTGTAGGCAAGTTATTTAAATTTAAATTTCTTCATTGGTAGAGGGGGAAACCTCCTCCTGAGGGTGAAATGAATCATATTTTGAAAGTACTTAGACTATTCAGACATGTGCCTCTAGTCTCTGCTATTATGTAGGCTGGTGAGGTAATAGGATTCCATGATTCCAAGAATTCAGGCCAGCATGGGTAAACTATTGAGACTTTTTCTTTAAAAAGTAAGTGCTTAGACTCTCATTATCTTTTAGGTTCTAAATAAATATCTTCCTTATTCTATGAGCTGATTTTCCTTTCTTGGGGCTTTTTATGCTTTTTTAGACAGTGTCTTTTTATGATATTTTCTGAAGTAGAGCTTATTTGTTTTAGACATACAATCCTAATGAGTTCCTTAATAAAATAAGTCTTCATTTTTCTTGATTCCATGAGTCTTTTCCTTTTCTTTCTGGTCCATGCATTCATTTCAGGTATTATTTTCTAGTTCCCTGACCTGACCTTCATTTTTCATTAGCAAATTATACCCTGTTTTTTTCATATACCCTTAAGTCACATTAGTACATCTAGAAATTTAGAATGTTTCATAAATAAAAATGAAAAGATCACAGTGGGTCAAGCTACCACAAATATGTGCTAATAAATGTCTTCAAAGATTGCTTATAAGTATACATTTTAATCATAACAGTGAAAAGGTAATGGAAAATATCAATAAAAATGCAATAAAGCTACATTTTCTGAACTACACTATTTTTTGTTAAGGGTTTTGAGGCAGATACTTAGGATGTAGCATCTTAGAGTGTGGGAAGAAGAATGAGATAGAATGCCTCCATCTCCAGGTTTTGGGTCTGGTAGCTAAAGAGACCGTGAATAATGGTGCTGTAACAAGGAAAATACTGGCCTTTGGTTGTATGTGCATCTTTTCAAATTGTATTCCTGTCTTTGTGTGAGAGCATATTAAATACTTTAAAAAAAAAAAGTTCAAACCATAGATGTCACAAAACGATACAGAAAAGTAAAACAAGAGTTGCATCTTCATGCAGGATGAGTCAACATATAAGGTCAAACTCACAAATAGTAAAATATTCTTGCTCTTTCAAATCACTTACAAATTTTACAATACAATATATGTGATTTTGTATATACCTGCCAAATAGTATACATGTAACATGTACCATGTGTAATAAAGGGTACTTTGGAGGCAGTGAGCACAGTTGGGGCAAAGGCAAAGTCCACACTGTGTTTGAGGCATATCTATGCAACATAACTCAATTAGAAGTTGTGGCGAGAGATGAGCCGATAGTTAGATTGAGATAAGATCATATAGTGTATTTTATGGGCTTTAGTCTGAATATAAAGAGCCAGTTCTATCAATAGAAAGAAGCTCTGGGAAGTAAATTCTATTGACCATCTTTGTTGTCTTATTTAAACTTCACTACAACTCTGTTAAATACATGCTTTTAATTTACAGAAGAGGAAAACTCTGAGAGAATATGTTCTTTAGTAGTGTGTGAATTACCCATAATTTTTTTTTTTTTGCTCTTTTTAAGAACAAGTTGAATTTGCCGAAGTTAAATGTGAATATTACCTGACTCTACCAAAGAAAAGAATGAAAGTCTTTCCTAATCTCAGTCCTCAGAGATAGTTTTTATTTTGGTGTCGCCTTGGGCGTGCAAGGGAAGCACTCTATCAACTGAGCTATATCCCCAGCCCAAGATAGCTATTTTTTAGAATGCGTTTGTTATTTGATCTTTTTCACTGAAAAAAAGATATGAGTGTAGATTTTGAGAATTTCATTGTGGACATATATGTAGTTTTTGTTTTTTTGTGGATGTGTTTGTTTTTTTGAGATGGGTCTCACTGTGTTACCACCACTGGTCTTGAATTCCTTGGTTCAAGCAGTCCTCCTTGAGTGCTGGGACAACAGTTACATGCCACCCTGGTGATGTATATATTTATGTGTTCCCTATGATTCATTCTATGTTAATCATTCCTCAAATTCTTTGTTGACTGGGTAACATCTTCATCAGCATTTTGTAACACTATTTTGCTTTTTTCTTGTGTTTTTGAAAAAAACTATTTTATCTTGCAGGAACTTGTTTAACGAACTGAGAATTGTTGTTGAACACATAATAATGAAGCCTGCTTGTCCACTGTTCGTGAGAAGACTTTGTCTCCAAAGCATTGCCTTTATAAGCAGACTGGCACCAACAGTTGCGTAGTTTAACTTCTAGTTAAGCTATGTATATAATATAAGCATTATTAGCAGCTGGTACTTCTACTAGGGTATCCTAAATTCCAGGTGTTAACACTGACCTCAATTCAACTTACATAATTTACATAGTAAATGCATCTCAATGGAAAAATAGTCATTTTCCTGGCATGTTAAATCAAGCCTTTTCAAAAGTTGATGAGAAAAATTTTACTGTGCTCTGTTGCTAATGGTTAAGGAAGTTTGTATCTAGTGATAAATGTATCAATTTTTTTAGATGCTGCTGTGCCTGTATCATGAAATACATTTATTTTTTGAAAAAATAGTTCTGAAATTTGTTTCTACCTAATTTGTAACCTAATCTGGCATGAATTCATTATGGTAATAACATGTGAATTTAGTATATTTTAAGACAGTATTCTTTTGCCATTCAGTAATTTTGGTTGATGATTTTAACAGAAGCACTGTAATTCTATTTCACATTGTTATTGATTTTGTGCTACTTTGCTAGGACAGATTTATTTTGGATGTATCATTATACGAGGCAGTTTATGTCTTATGCTAGGAGCTTCTGAATTTTTATTTCCATAAGAATTCTGTGGCTTTGGTTTTTTTTTTTTTTTTTTTTAACTCAACTGTAAGCCTGTTAGTCAATTGGATAAATATTTGGGGTCACATAACCACTTTATATCAGAAAGTAGTAATGACACAATTTTGCTTTCAAAGACCCATTGAGAAATATTTCTTAAATAGGAAATCCTTTTACAAATGTGGACAGATAGGTTTATTAGTATTATAGTTTGTAAAATTACCTAGTTCAGGTTCTTGACTTCAGTTTTCTTGGTTTCTTAGGCTTGAATTTTCCTAGAAAATTGCAGCAGTCAGATGCCTTTTGAAAGGAATGTAACTGAAGATTGAGCATATGGCTATACTCATGTCTGAAATAATAATGAAGAATATCCTGTAGATTACATATTTATCCATCAAATCTGATTTGAAAGGTTAAGTGGAAAGTTTTTTAGGTAAGGTAATATGTAATGGGCCTGGGAGAGCAATCGGGAATAGTATGCATTTCAGTCTTGTAATGCATAGATATATTTGAAGAAATTGGCTGTATTATGCAACTGTGATTTGAGTTGTATAATGTGTTAAATCCTGTTCATTGAACTCCCATCAACTACTTTATAAAATTCATTCTGATCCTTATTATTGTTGCATGATTGGGAATGTTCAAAAAGGTAGCACAATTTTAGTATAGAATAATATAAATGTTTTTGTATCCTGTTTTCTTCTGTCTGCATGTAATGTGGATTTCTCAAATACATTCATTAGTGATTTATCAGTAATATCAGTTTTCCTTTTGTTCAACTTTCTAATCTATAGAAAGATGAAATTCTTAGGCTAGATTGCCAGAAAAATTCTACTTTGATAGCTTAACTGTAACCAGCTATTTTTGTAATTTTGTAATATTTATCCACTATGTTGGAGAAGCAACCTCATAATATACAGTTGATTTTGTGTGTGTGCAGCTAGCCTCATCACTGTATGTGTAATCTGATGGTTTTGAAAACTAACTTTCTAGAGCAATAAAGTGACTATAATGTTAAGTAAACACACTGATTTCTAATGTGTTTTAAAATATTATCTAATTATATCAAGAAATTTTGGCAGCTGAAGGCATAATTTATTTGAAAAAACTTTTCCTTGTCTTTTTTTTTTTGTTAGAAGAATTTGAGAAGTAGTGCTGTGAGAGTTCATTTATACCTATTACTTAGCTTCCTCTTATGTCAGCATCTTATGTAACTAGTAGACTGTTTATCCAGAGTAAGAAATTAATCCTGGACCATTGTTAACTAAAGTTTAAAACTTATTTGGATGGCACCAGTTTTTCCATTTGTTGTGTGCTTGCATTCTGTTTTTACCTTGATTGCCTTTTACTTTTAAATGTCTATAAGTATTAATTTTGAATTTTTCTTCTTTATTTTAAAAATTAACAGTGGTCAAAAAGATGTCCCTAAAGGAAGTAATCCACAGTGGTTTTAAAAAATTTTTAAACTTAAAACTTCTGTAATTTCAGATACTTGTGCTTTAAATCAAGGCTTTTAAATAACATAGTAGGATTATAATATTTCTGATATGCTCATGTTTGAATGGAAAGAATAGATTTATTTCTTAAAGGAAGACTTAATATATAAATAATAGTCAAATTTATGAGAAACTTAATTTTACAGTTTGAGCATTACCAGATATTTGATTTGCTAGAAATTCTGCATAATGAATGTGTACAAGTATAGCTTATTTGGTATCTGAAATTATAGTGTTACGTGTACACCTCTAAAATTAAGAAAATCTAAGAACAGTATGTAAAATGAATGCAGTAGGAAAATTCAATCTTACTGCGTAACTGAACTAATTTTTTCTTACAGGTGTAAAAGAAGTTGATTTAACATCCAGAATATCTCATTGTTTAGGAAATTGTATAGTGCCATTATTTATTAGAACCTCTTGGACAGGTGGACACCTCATACAAAATACATTATTCTAGCAAGCATTCTATATTACATTTGTTTTGTATACTTGGTTTCTCATTAATTTAAAAAGTCTCAGGTATAGTTTATATTTAAATTTTCTTGGAATAAAATTCACCAAGATTAGTGCTTCTGGGAGGAAGCAAGGAAGAAGCTAACATCATCATCATCATCATCATCATCATTATTATTAAGTTTGCGTATTTAAGAATGTCCCTTACAGAGAACATGAGGCCAAGCTCATAATAAACCAGAAGTTATGAAAGATTAATACATTCTATCATCTAAGTAGGAATTGAAAAACTATTAGTACTTTACTTTGTAAGAATCAGGATCAAAAATTCAGATTAGGGTTTGTAAATTTAAGGCATGGATATTATTTATTCTGGAAAGGAAAATGAATATGTAATGAGACAAATGGAACTGAAAGATTCCATTTTTAAAGCATTCAGATGACAGTGAGTAAATTTATTTTAAGGGATTGTGATAAATACCCTCAACAGCTATTAATATAGCTATTCTAAAGCCTCAGAGCTGTCACTTAGTTTTGATAGAATGAAAACCTCAAGGGAGAAAGTAGCCACAGACAGTTATGTTTATAACAGTAGATGTCACTCTTTCCTAAAGTTGCCTCCCATTTTCACGTTATGTTGGAAGGTTAAATGCCACTGGAACAGTGCTGAGTCAGCCATAAAACTAAGAATCTGAATTCCATGACCCTTTTTAATGTGTATTAATTCAATATTGAACAAATACTTAGTGTGCATTTACCATGAGTACTTTAAGTGCTGGTTCTTAACCCCAGAGCCTCATATTCTATCATTGAGCCTATGTGAACATTTTAAATATCCCTAAATGTCAGAAGTACCCTGTCAAACATGTACTTTTTAGGAAAATAGGCCACAATTGGAAGTCGAATACAAATCATTGTCTCTTTTTTTTCTTTTCCATTCAAAGTGCCTAAATCAGTTAAATCAGTTATAAAATTGTTCTTCATTTTCAGATGTGTAGAAATATGCAACTTAAAATTTTTCATCGCCATTTTGTAGGTACACTTACATACAGCTAATTTAACCTCTTAAAATTTAGACTTTTCATTGTAAAATAAAAACATATTGAACTTCTGGGATGTTATATCAGGAGTGGTACCTATATTTGAAAATTAAGTGTGAGTTGTAGAGACACTACTAGTTTTTTGTAGCACTTCACTGAAATTCTGATCCTAGAGAATTCTAGTGAGACTGTATGATAGTATAGTTCAACAGATAGCAACCAAAGGCATTCCTTTAAAAATCCAGGAGTTATTACTAGAGATTGTTTTAGTGAGCACTCCTCTTTTATATTCTAGTGGGAAGTTATTAGATCTGGTATTAAAGATAAAAAAGGAGCTGCTTAGTTTGGGAGGCTTTTTGGTAGAAATTAATCTACGAAATTTTTATAATAGGAGGAACATGTTCCCATGTGAGGTATTTTATCTATAGTCTTTTCCCTCTTGTGAAGTTCATATAAGAAATTGATCTGCACTGAGTTTGAGTTGATATGACAAGAGAAAGAAAAGTACAGTATTTTTTAATATAAAGCTGATTGTTTTTCTTTGAAAACAATAAGAAAGTTATGGATTGACGTTTTTGCTGGAATTATCTCATATCTTAGGAAAAAGAAGGGCCCATGAATCATTTTACTTATTCTATAGCCATTTACAGCCACTTTTTGATATGTTCATCACTTTGGAACTAACCTTTTTTTTTCTTTTTTTTTGTTTATGATAGCTTAATTCTAAATTGTTACTATTTTTCCGTTGTAACTTTAAGATAGAACAATTCCTTTTGACATTAATTTTTACCTACATGTGTTTATAAGTTGGAGACCAAATGAGCAAAGTCTTGGACAGGTAACATTTATGATGTGTTTATATTGAAACAAATGTGAAAAGGTCACGAAAGTTAGAAACAGAGTCATAAAAAACTGCTTGATTTATAAATGCATTACTTTTGGTGCTCTATATAATGGGATATATTGAATTAAAATTTTGTATATATAGTATGTCAGCATTTCTTAGTAAATTCTTGAATCTATTTTTAATATCTAATATTGTACAGGTTGGGGAGTTAAGCTCTTCAGGGCAATACTATCCACACTGTAGAAATTTATAAAATAAATTGAAAAATTCATCATTCCTCTGTATTCAGGACCAAAACACATAATGCTAATGTAGGGCTCAGAGGGGAAATATAGGTCTCCTGCATATTTGAGAAAATGTGAAGTTCTTTCAAGAAAATCTAATAAACATAATAATCATAGCCTGCTGACACTAAGGAAAAAGGACCTCATTCACTCTTTCTTTTATGCATCGATTTACTGGTCCCTACTGATTTCCAAATTGGATCACTGTAGTAAATTATCCATGCTGGTACCTGTGAAAGTAAGCCCTGGGATCCATATTTGTTTTGTGTTCTGCTTAAATCAGCAAGAATGATAAATTTGATGGTGTGAAATTGGAAGTATCAAGGGCTTTCTTTGGTGATTGAGCAAAGTAATGTCTCCACTTGTAATATATTGTGACCCTTTTTCACTATGTGTGCTTTGTATGTCCAATATTTATTTCAGTACAAATTAAATTGTTTCTTCACCTATATTGTTATATCTAAGATTTTATTGATGTAAAAATCAAATTGTATAATAAAAATCTCTCTGGATTTAAGCAGATTTTAAAATGTTATGTTGCAAAAATACACTTACAGTTAGAATTCAGCTTTCCTTTGAGCCTAATTGCCTTATTGTTAGAGCACTTTTATCCTCAGTCCATTACAAATAATAGAAACGCTGATTTTGAGTTCTAACAAGAAACTGGAAAAATAAGGTGTGAAACAAAACTGGAGGGAAAAAATTTCATTCTCATCCCCATTCACTTTCACTTCTCCTGGTTTAAAGCATTTCACATTTTACATTGCTTATCAGTAAAATTCCCTTCTGTGTCTCTAAAAGAGAAGGATCCTTTTTAAGATCAATATAAAAAATTAACAAACAACATGCCTTTTAGATTTTAGGTTAATGACTAGAAGTGAGTGAGAGTAATATCCTTATAGAAGGCTTATGTGACTTTATAACAACAAGTATATTAGGATGAAAAGAAAAAATAATAATTAGGAGAACTTCTTCACCTATATTGCTAGCCTCAGAGGAGGACACAGACCAATAGTTGTACCCTCTTGGGGAAATTCTGTTTTTCCATTTTAATACCTTTTATTTTGATACCAGAGATTGAACCTGTGGGTACTTTACACTGAGCTATATCCCTAGCCCTTTTTATTTTGAGACAGGGTCCTGCCAAGTTGCTTAGAGCCTTGTTAAATTGCTGAGTCTAGCTTTGAACTTGGGATACTCCTGCCTCAGTCTCCTGAGTTGCTGTGATTGTAGGCGTGCACCACTGTGCCAGGCCCATTTTGATTCTAAAGGAGATAGGATATCCAGTTATTTTTCTTTGAAAACGTGAATGTGGAACTTTGATTGGCAGTCTCACTAAAAATAGAATAAGGAGCAGGTCAGTTCTGCAAAAGGAAGTGCCGCTAACCAAACAAGGGGGTAATTTGGGACTCTGCCACTGAATTAAGAATTTAGTATTAGAAGCATTATTCTTACTAAATTAAATTGCCTTTAAAACAAATATTTTCAAATTATTCGATTGTAGAATTTAGGGAAATTTATTACCAATTTTACTTTTTAAATGTATTTCCTTTTTAAAAAAACTAATTTGTAGAATTTTAATTTTTCTTTGAAGCTCTATAATTGTTACTATTCTAGAAGTGATACCAAGGTGTCTCAGACAAATAAAACTGGCAGTGATCTAGAATAAAATAGGTCTGTCTTTTATCATTAACTGGTGAAAGACACAATCATGTAATAGGGATTCTGTGATCTGAAATAATGGTTCTTTTTTTTTAAATTTTTTATATATATATTTTTAATATTTATTTTTTCTAATTCTCGGCGGACACATCTTTGTTGGTATGTGGTGCTGAGGATCGAACCCGGGCCGCACGCATTCCAGGCGAGCGCGCTACCGCTTGAGCCACATCCCCAGCCCTGAAATAATGGTTCTTGATATTTTGAAGTATCAGGTTCATATTTAGCAGTTAAGTATAGTAATAAAACATTTTTTACTGTCATTCATCTCCTGAAATATTTAAAAATTACTGTTTTACTACTTTATACCTAGAAGACTAAACTTTTTCAAGCTATTTTACTCATTTTGAATTAATGGTTTTTGTATGAACATTGTATGTTCATTTCCTGATGGTAGTCCTCAATTTCAAAATAAAAGCAAAAAAAAAAATTCTTAAAATTTGAAACAATTTTTAGAAAACATTTTAATTTGGCTCTTATATTTTTTAGATATATGGCTAGAAATAAAAATATTTTCTTCAAAGCAATTAGACATTTCTCCTATAATTTGCCAGAGGGTTTTTTTTCCTTTGCTTATTAATATTGCATCAAAGTCAGTTTCTCTTAGGAAACTTATTACTCTTGAGTTTTTGTTTGTTTATTATACGTACTTTAAAATTGTTTTGTGGCAGCTACACTTATATATTTATATACAACTGATATGATTTCAGTAACAAAATCTCTTCACCCTTTATATTAAAATGCAGAAATGAGCTCCAAGCAGGTTTATAAAATCATTATTTTTCTGTATACTAATAGTTATCTCATTCTCAAACTTAAAGTATAATCTTATTTTAATTGTAAGCAAACTTCATTCTGGTGGTAAGTTTTCTGAAAAGCAATTCTAGTAACTCATTTTGTATGTAATAAAAAACAGGAACAGCAGGAAGACATAGCTCAACTTCATAGTATTTCCAGGTTTTTATTTTTTTACACTAAATCACCTAATCAGTATTAAGAAGGGCTTCTTGGGCTTGGGGTTGTGACTCAGTGGTAGAGTGGTTGACTAGCACATGTGAGGCACTGGGTTCAATTCTCAGCACTATGTAATAGATAGATAGATAGGTAGATAGCTCAGTTCATCTACAACAAAATATGAAAAAGGTGGGGGGTTTCTTTCTCAGGAGGCTAAGGCAGAAGGATCACAAGTTCAAAAAGCCAGCCCTGGTAACTTAGCAAGGCCCTAGGCAACTAGCAAGACGTTGTATCAAAAAAGGCTGGGAATGTGGCTCAGCGATTAAGCACCCCTGGGTTCAATCCCTGGTACCCCCCCCCCCAAAATATATATGTATACATGTGTATATGTATGTATGTACATACACACACACACATGCATAAACAAAGGCCAGGTGCAACGCACACACCTGTAATCCCAGCAACACATGAATCTGAGGCAGGAGGATTGCAAGTTCAAGGCAAGCCCCAGCAACTTAACAAAACCCTGTTTCAAAATAAAATAGGGCTGGTGATGTGGCTGAGTTCAATATCTATTTATCCATCCCCCTCCCACCCCCACCCCCCAGTCTGGCTGGGCATAATTCAGGAGCCACCTGTCAAAAGAAACGAACTTTATTTTTAGAATACACACACCACACCACACAGCTCCTCAGCACCGCAGAGGAGCCAATCAGTTGGCAGCTAGAAGTTTGCTGGGGCTGCTGTGAGCCAATCATCAGCTGGCAGCTGGAAGTTTGCTGGGGCTCCTTCGCCTGTGGCTCTCAACACCCCCCCCAAAGAAAATCCATTTAAGGGGTGTAAAACAAGTTTGGGTTACCATAATCAACTACTTAATAAATCTTGTAAGTCAAGGTATAAAGTCACAGAATCTTTTGAAGATTTTTAAAAATTGCTATTGACTGTTGATGTAGGCTCTTGAACAGTTGACCAAGTTTTCAACTACATACTTACTATTACACAGGGAAAGTAAACCTAAAGGATTATGTCACACAGATGAATTTAGGGGGGGCCTAACAAAAATAAGTAAATTAGCCAGTGAAAGCACTTAAAAATATTGGAAAGACTGAACTGGGAAGTACTTGTTTAAAGGCATTTCAATTTAAAAAATTTAGGAGCTGAGGATAGAGAGAGTGCTTAGCATGCACAAGGTCCTGGGTTAAATCCCCATCAACCCCTCCTCCCCAGTTTTGTTTTTTAAACTCTGCCAATTACACACTGTGGACCTAATTAATGACCCAAATGTTAATATTATCAAGGAGTTAAAAATGTAGATAGCATCAAGAGTAACACCAGAAATAGTTGTTCTAGTATTTGGACATCCTTCCATGGGCCTCAGTTTCTTTATTTGTAGAATGTAGCCAGTAGAAATTATATTAGAGGTTTGTTTGAGGTAGTGTATGTGAAAGTGTTTGTACACTAAAGATTTATACAAACAGCTAAATTTAAATTTTTTTAAAGATTTTATTAATTGTTGATGAACTTTCATTTAGTTATCTGTGGTGTTGAGAATTGAACCCAGTGCCTCACACACAAGCACTCTACCACTGAGCCACATCCCCACTCCCAATTTACATTCTTTTATGGTCTCATTTTTACCTTAGAAAATTCTGAGACTCTTGAAATTTAAAGAACTGCCCCCAAAGTCATACTTAATGAGTCAGTGTCAGTTAAATTTTGTGACACTATGTTGTAAGTCACTACCTTTCTGAGAAAGAATGAAAACATTGAAGCCTGGGAATGTAGCTTAGTGGTAAAGTGTATATTTAGTGTGTAGGAGGCCCTGGTTTCAGTCCTCAACACCAAAGAAAGAAAAAAAAAATTAGCCTGGCCTGGTGGTACTTGCCTGTAATCTCAGAGGCTAGGGAGGCTCAGGCAGGCGGATCACCAAGTTTAAAGCTATCCTCAGCAATTTAGGCCCTAAGTAATTTAGCAAGACCCTGTCTAAAAGATAAAAGGGCTGGGGATGGGTCCTAGTGGTTAAGCACCCCTAGGTTTAATCCCTGGTACAGAAACAAAGAAATGAAACTTTGGACCTGTCAAGACCAAAAAAGACAAAAGCCTTATGTCAACATTTGGATTTTCTTTGTCATCAAAGTTCCAGAGCTTATGCAGGAGACAAGTAAAAGTGCTATAACTTATCAAAATCAGATCCACCTCTATAATTTTAGAAGTTTTTTCCAGAAGTACATCTTCAAGATCAGCAAATGATTTAGAAGTCTCTCCAAAATATATTCTTTTAAAACTATCCCAAATTAATAAATAAGGAGGCAAAAAATAGTCTATGAAATACTCAAAGCTCAATTTATCTGTAATGTGTAGAGAATATGGCCCAGAATTACAATTCTGTCTTCATTAGAGAATATGCCAGAAATTGAGAGTTCCCTGATTCTTATCCTAAATGAAGCTTCTAGGAAGCACAGATAAAACCTTATCATCTTAAAGCAGTAAAACCTGGCCTGTCTCTAGGGCTTTGAAGTCTGACAGGCCTGGCTTTAGTTTTTTAGTTGTGTGGCCTGTTTCTCTTCTGTAAAACGACAAAATATCAGCACCCTGTGTAAAATGACCTAAGGTATATATTATCATAGTGCTTTGCATATAAAGACTCAGTATATTCTGGCAGTCATCATCATCATTAATAATTTAAAACAGTTCTGTGGATTGCTTCATTGACTAAATTGAGTAATATAATTTTCCATGTCCTTATATACCAAAGAGAAAACAACTATAATGATTCTCCAAATGACGTATAGTATAGTAATAACTGATACTTTTAATGATGACTGCCCATCATTTTACCCTATA